GCCATCGCGCGCCAGCTGCAATTAGAGATTTCTTTCCTCCCGGTGTTTTCACGGGCAGGCCACTCGGGGCCCGGGGCAGTTCCGCGATCGCCCCCAGCGCCTGGGGGTCTTCAGGCTGGCTCGGTCCACGGGGGGCCCATGTTGGAGCTCCTCCAGGGGGTGTCCAACCACGTTCCCCGAGGCGGGTCCGAGCTGGAAACGGCATAAGTGAATGGGGTCTTTCCATGGCGCGGCATCTTTGCGGGACGCAATCAGTCAGCGGATGCAGCAGCCAGCCGCGCCAAGGCGACCGCTCAGATGATCAAGGTGGCGCATACGGTGAGGAACCCTTGGCGCGCGGGGGATTCGCCCCAAGCCGCGCGGCGACCCGCATGTTTATGCCTGGGCCCCGCGGTGCTGATGCGCTAGCGCGCGCGAGCATTTGTTTCTTTCTAGAGCTCGCCATGAGGGGGGGTGCTCGACCACGGCCATGAGTTTGATGATGGGCGCCGACCGCGATTCCTTGTTTTTGGGCGCCTTCAGGTGTTTCCGTCGCGGCATGAACTCTCCCCCCTCTGTCTTGCGCGCGTCGGGGCGCCCTTTTCAGCTCGCGCGGCGAAATGACCGGAGGCGCCTTCGAGGTGCGAGGCGCAGGTGCGGCCGCGTCAAGGGGGCCCTAACGGCCATGATGGCTTGTTTCCAGTAAATTTCATGGGGCGCCCCTGAATCGTGGATACGGATTAACAGGTCAGGCGGCACCCTGTTCGATTGTCGCGACTGTGACCCCGACAAGTTTCTCGGCTCTGATTTCACAGGCGCGCTATTCGGATTGGCGCGGGCCACGGGTGCCCAGCGCCCCCGCGGGACAGGGCTCGAGCGCAGCGTCGATTCTAGCGCCGCGTGCCGGCTCGCGCGCTGGCCGGAGAGTTTGCGTCTGCACGATCGGGCCGCCGCGCTGAGAATGGCGGCGGCGGAGGCTTGTGGCCTGCTGCCAGGCCCTTCGGGAAGAGAGTCTCCGCCGGCCCCCCATCGAGCCCTCCCCGTCCTCTGGTCGCCCCACGCCCGAGGAGCATTTCGGGCCCCCCCCCCGCTCCCGCGCCCGGGACAGGGCTAGCCCCCGCCCCGGGATTGGACGAGGATGGGCGACTTGCTCGAGCACGAGAAGACGTCCGAGGGCTGCGCGGGCAGGCGGGGCCCGAATCGGCGGAGGCCGGTCCGAACTCTCGCGCGTCGACCAGTTGCCCGCGACGCGGGGCGGTCTAGTCGCCAAGAGAGAGTTTCAACGCGCGCGGGAGTTGTTGGGGCGAGCTGTTCAACGGGCAGGCGCCGCCGGCGGGGCTTTAGCTCCACTACAGGCCCAACAGGGGCCAGATGTTGCGCTCCAGAACACAAAGCTTTCGCGCTCGCTACAGCAACATGAGCCCGCGACAACGACCAGCTGTTCTGGCTTAGGAGTCTGCCCCCGCCGAGATGGGCGCCAGCGCCCACCTTGGCAGATACTGCATGCCCACCAGCGTTTTCCCCCAGTCTCAGCCAAGGGCCGATAGATCTGGGTGCGGGGGATGTCGTCGTCGGGGCGCGGATGCGTCGGGCGGGCCGCGGCAGGCCGTGCTCGTCGGAGGCCAGGCTGAAGAGGTGTGGGTGGAGGTTTTGCACTAGTCCGGGAGGATCGGCAGCCTGGGTGAGGGCAGCATGGGCTTCTACCTGGATTTACACAGCGGTCCCCCCCGGCCGGGCTGGAGGCCATCGCCCAGGCCCCGCGGAGCACTGTTGGAAGTGTTGGCAGTGGACCCGGCTGTCGCGATCTCGGGTTTTCACCGAGGTACCAAGTCTATCCACAATGTTAATGTGTTCGCTTGGAGAAGGTTTTGGGGAGCTGCCCAGGACCGCCTCATCGTTATGCAGAAGGGTAGATGCCACGCTCGCCTTGCTTCAGATCGTGCCGACGGCCCTCCCTTGCAGTTGTGGTTGGCTAGTGGGGCCGCCGGCCAGGCGGCACAATGTGGTGCTCAGAAGTGCCAGTTGCCTGGTCATGTGATTCATGAGATTACGTGTCTGGACGAGTTGACCTGGAAAGTCGAAAAGCATATTGTAGCAGTGGCCCTTGGCAGTGCGTCGAAGGCCCCTGAACTGTATGGTCTGGTTCGCGTGCTGCTCGATCGGCGGTAGCGAAGCTTCGGGGCAAGGAGCGTGCTGTTCCGACAAAGAGACGAAGGTGGTTTCGTCTCATCAAGTTGGGCACGGCACCGAACGCATCAAGTGCATCAGGTTTCTCATTCGGCCGTCAGCAGAGCTCAGAACGCGTGACTGGTTGGCCTCCCCGTGCTCTAAGGCCCCCACGGGCATAGATCTTTCGCACAGGCTGGATGTTTGCATTGGGGTGTTCTGGTGCCAGATGTTTGGGGCCACGGGCGCGGAAGTAAATTCGTGAAGCTCGGCAAAGTGCGTCGACCTGACCAAGTTGGAACCTGGGGAGGAGGGTGATCAGCGCCCCTGGGGCGAGAAACATCACCCGCGCGAGAAAGCTCACCCCTGGGTTTGCGACTTGGCCTGAACAATGGCCAGAGTCACAATTCGATTGGTTCTTGGTTTCGGCGTGCCAGATTCTGGGAGTCCACGCTGCAGCTCTAGAAGTGCAAGAGGAGGAGGAGGTGGGGAAGGAGGAGGAAGAGGAGGAGGAGGAGGAGGAGGACGGAGAGGAGGGGGAGGAGAAAAGGAGGAGGAGGAGGAGGAGCAGGAGAAGGAGGAGGAGGAGGAAGAAGAAGAGGAGAAGGATGAGGAGAAGAATGAAGAAGAGGAGAAGGAAGAGGAGGAGGAAGAGATGGTGGAGGAGGAGTAGGACAATGCTGGTGATGATGATGACGACGATGACGATGGCGATGACGATGACTATGGCGGTGACGATGACGATGATGAGGATGCTAATAATAGTAGTAATAATAATAAAATTCATAATACTAATAATAATAATAATAGTAGTAATAATAATAATAGTAGTAGTACTAAGAATAATAATGAAAATATTAATAATAGTAATATTAATACTAATAATAATAATAGTAGTAGTAATAATACTAATACTCATAATAATAATAATACTAGTAATACTAATAATAATAATGATATTAATAATAATAATGATAATAATAATAATGATAATGATACTGATAATGATAATGATGATGATGATGATGATGATGATGATGATGGTGGTGGTGGTGATGATGATGATGATGATGCTGTTGATGATGATGTTGCTGATGATGAATATGCTGAGTATGCTGATGATGATGCTGATGATAGTGGTGTTGGTGTTGGTACTGATGTTGAGGTTGATGATGGTGATGGTGATTATTGTAATGATGATGATGATGATGCTGATGACGATGATGACGATGGTCACAATCATGATGATACTTATGTTGCTGAGGGTGATGATGGTGATGGTGATGGTAATGGTTATGATGATGATAGTGGTGGTGATGCTTATGATTGTGGTAATGACGATGATGACAGTGGTGATGATGATGATAATGATGATGATGACGATGATGATGATGATGATCATGATCATGATGATGATGGCAATGGTGATGATGATGATGATGATGATGATGATGATGGTGATGATGATGATGATGATGATGATGATGATGATGATGATCATGATGCTGATGATGATGTTGATGCTGATGCTGATGCTGATGCTGATACTGATGATGCTGATGCTGATGAGGAGGAGGAGGAGAGCGAGGACGAGGACGAGGACGAGGAGCAAGAGGAGGAGAAGCAGGAGCAGGCGGAGGAGGAAGAGGAAAAGGAGGAGGAGGACGAGGAGGACAACGAGAACGAGGAGGGAGAGGAGGAGGAGGAGGCGGAGGAGGAGGAAGCGGAGGGTTGAGGAGAAGAAGAGAAGAGGAGGAGGTGGCGGAGGAGGAGGAGGAGAATGATAATAACGTTGATGTTTATGATGATGATGATGATGATGATGATGATGATGATGATGATGATGATGATGATGATGATGGTGATAGTGATGATAGTGATGTTTATGGTGATGGTGATGGTGCTGCTGCTGCTGCTGCTGCTGATGCTGATGATGACGACGGTTATGATGATGATGGTGATGAGGAGGAGGTGGATGAGGATATTGATGATGATGATGATGATGATGATGATGATGATGATGATGATGATGATGATGATGATGATGATGATGATGATGATGATGACGATGCTGACGATGCTGACGATGACGGTGATGATGCTAGTGCTGATGCTGATGCTGATGTTAATGGTGAGGAGGAGGAGGAAGAGGAGGAGGAGGAGGAGAAGGAGAAGGAGGAGGAGGAGGAGAAGGAGGGGGAGGGGGAGTGGGAGGGGGAGGGGGAGGAGGTGGAGGAGGAGAAGGAGAGAGGGGAGAGGAGATAGAGGAGATGGAGGAGAGGGGAGAGAGGAGAGAGGATAGACGGAGAGGAGAGAGGAGAGAGAAGATAGGAGGGAGGTGAGAAGGAGAAGAAGAGGGGGGAGGAGGACGAGGAGGAGGCGGATAAGGAGGAGAAGGTATAATAATGCTACTTGAATTAATTCGTAAAAGAAGGAAAAGAAGCAGTACTGATACGTATACTTCGGAAGAGAAAGAATATAATATACCATCATATAATAACGCACAGATACGTATTAGCATATAGTCTACAAAAGCACCGTGCTTACGTAGATTGTGAAAACATACGAGTTATAACAGCACGAATGATCATAATCAGAAGAATACTGAGAAGAAGAAGAAGAAGAGGAAGAAGAAGAAGACGAAGACGAGTAGCAATAGAAAGAAGGGTAAGAATCTTAATGCTACGAAAAAGAGTACCAACCACCATGTCAATAAGATTCTTAATAATAGTAGTGGCAATATAGTTGTGTATATATATATATATATATGGGAGGAGGGAGGAGGGAGGAGGTCTTGGCTCCCTGTCCTCCCCTGTCTCTTGCCCCTGCCGCCCCCCCGCCCGCCGCCGCGGCAGGCAGTTCCAGGCCGGCCACTGCCGGCGGGGCGCGGAGTGCCCGCTCGCGCACGAGTTGCCAGGCGGCGATCGAGGGAAAAGCTCAGGAGGGAAAGAAACACACAGACAAAATGAATCTTGGATTCCCCGGAAAATATGGGAAAATATGGGAAGTGGGGGGGAAGACAAAAACCCAAAAAATATAAGAAAATATAGGTAATCTTCTTATTTGTGTGTATTTATTTGTGTGTCCCAGGGCCCCTTCAAAAGCACGGGTCGGAAGCCGGGCGGAAGCTGGCAAGCCCGTGGTTGCTGAAACGGAGCTCCAGGAAATAGTTGTTTTCTCTTCCGGGAAGCAGCCCGTTTGTTCTTTGGTGCGTTGAGCTTGCTTCCGAGGATGTGTATTTTTCTTCTGGGAAGACCGTTCCCGCAGCCACGGATTTGCCAGCTTTCGCCCAGCCGAACGGGGACCATGACCAAGATTTCGTGGGATCTCGTCGGCGGCGATTTTGGTCGTGGTCCACGTCTGCCGTCGCCACTCGCGAGGATGAGCCACGAATTGCTGCTGACCAAGATCGGCGGTGACCAAGATCGGCACGACGTCTCCGCGGTCAGGCGCTCTCGAGGGCGCGAAGTTGTTCGCGCTTCGCGCTTCGGCTCCGATTCCTCCTCATCCTTCCATTCTTCCCTGGGGGGCGGCGCGAGAGCGCGAAGCTTCTCGCGCTCCGCGCAGCGCGGAGCGCAAAGTCCGGCTCCCTGGATCATGGTCCCCGGGCTCCTCCCCTCCAGGCGAGGCGCCCAGGCGCGGCCTCAGCCCGGGCGCGGAAGGCCTCGGGCGTCGAAGCTGTCCGCGCCCCTGGTGGGCAGCAGACCGGAGGCTGAGAGAACCCCCGTCCGGACAGGGCGGTTGAGGAAAGCTGCGCCCGTTCACTCCGCATCGGCACTCCGAGCGTGCTGGTGCATCCACCCGATACCCTGTTGTGGACGCTCGGAAAGAGCGCCGATGCCACAGCTGATTTCAATGTTGATGCGCGTTTTTGCGTGGGGGGGCGACTTCCGTAGTGATGCTGCCGCCGCCCTTTCCCGGCCTCCCAGTTCCTTGTCGGTGTCGCTCCTCGGCGCGTGCCTTGCCGGAGGCGCTCGCTTGCTTTGCGGGCTTCGAGCAGCTGCCCCGCCGAGGTCCGCTCGGAACGCGGCGCCGTGCGCACGTGGAGTGCCCCATGGCGGCTTTCACTGAAGGGCGTTTTGCCAAAGGCTGTCCTGTCACTTTTCAGGAGGGAAGGAAACACACAGACACAATTCATCGTCGATTCCCAAGAAATAAGCCAAAATATGGGAAGTGGGGGGACGACAAAAACCAAAAAAAAAAAATGGGAAAATAAAGGAATAGTTTTATTTGTGTGTATCTATTTGAGTGTCCTGGGGCCCCAAATATTTGAGTAAATGGCGGAAGTTTCCGCTCGTTTTGGACTGAGTGTTTTTTGTTTTTGCGAATATCGCCCAACAGCGCTCAGTGGCGTCAAACAGCGCCCAGTGCCGCCGAGTAGCGCTCAACTAGCGCCCAAAGCGGCCACTAGCACCCAAGAACACCTTGTGAGGGAATTGCTTACTGTCCGCTTTGCGCGCGTTTGGGCCCGCTATTCGGCGCCATGGGGATGACGGAAAGCCACCGCGAGCTTCTTTCTAACACACTTGTGGGGGAACAAAACCCAGACCCCCCGCGTCGTGAAAAGGGACACGGCGGGAGGTTCTTGGTATGTTCGGCATTTGGGGGCCCTCGCTGGGCCTTGTAAACGTTCTTGGGGTGAGACCTCAGGGAGTGGACGTCTGTGCGAGAGCGTCGCCCATGCACCGTACCATGTTTGGACACCCTTCACCCTGACTCCCCATCTTCCAGGGAACCAAAACCGGCATGAACATGACCTTTCGGAACCCCGCGCGGATGTTCACGGGAGGCGATACAGTCTCTGGCGGGCTCCGGAAACCCTGAAACGTGTGAACGACGTTGTGAACACAATCGAGACGTCGGGGGTCCGGGGCCACCGCGGCCAAGAGTCGGAGGAGGGTGAGCTGAGACAAGGGCCGTTTGGCCTTCGGGGGGGGCCCCTCGTCGACCCGGGCCAGACGCAGCGCGGAGAGGTGGTGCGCCTGGGCCCCGGGAGGGGTCGGGGGACCGATTCTGAGCTGCCGCTGTCTCAACTCGCCCTGCTCCCCGGGGAACACAGAACGGAGGCGACGTGTGGGATAGTTCAGAGGAGGAGGAGGTACCAGTACAACTACCCTTCGGCCGTTTTCCCCTTTTTCGGCCTCCTGGGAGACCCTCGTCGCCGCCGCTGGATTCGCTTCGAATTTTTTGTCAGAACGCACCCCGGGAGAGGTCCAGGGAGTAGCGGTATCGGTACCTGTTGTCTTCCTCAGGACCGATTTTGAGTTGCCGTTGTCTCAATTCGCCGTGCTCCGAGAGAGCACAGAACGGAGGCGACGCGTGGGGTGATGCGGAGGATAACGTCTCCGCCATCACGACAGCGCAACACACCTCGGAACAGAAATGGAGCGGCCATGGAACGGACGAAGGTGGAACGGGAGTGGACGAGAGAGAGCGGAAGCGGAATGAAAAGGCAACGGGGATGGGGCGAATTGAATCGCCTAAGCGTGTCGCAAAGGCTCCCATGAATGGAGGAGGAGGAGGAGGAGGAGGAGGATGTCCCCCCCGGTTGGTTCTCGGCGGCGGCGGTCGGGGATAGGCCCCGGGGCGGGAGGCACCGACCCCGCATCGCCCACACTGATTTTGGAGTCCCGAGACGGTGCGGTGACAGACCGTGCGGTGACCTCGAGATCCCCCAAGACCTCACCGCATGAGACAACAACAAAAAAAACTCACCGCACGCTCCGGAGACGTCCTCGGAGAGGGGCTCGAGTCCCAAGGCCGCGCGGTGGCCCCGACATCCCCCAAGATCTCACCACACGGTGCGGTCACCACACCGTCTGGGTGCCTCCCATCGATCGCCGACAGTTGCCCAGCAGCCCGCCTCGCCCAGGGACGTGCGGAGAGTCGCGGTCGGGGGTTGGAGCCGTCTGGGGGTCCGAGGTGGCCCAGCACTGTCGCTGGCCAGCAGGCAGGGCGGGCAGGTCCGAGATTCTGGGTTCGGGGAGGTCTGGTTCTATATATAGTTCTGCCTTCGGTGGCCACGTTCGGGCCCCGACAGGGAAGATTTGAAAGAGCGCGTCCTATGGTCGCTTGGAGAGGGGGGGGGAGCGAATGTTCCCAAGGCAAGCGCCCGTGAAACGCGTTCTCTCGAAGATCGGTCACCTGGACCACGGGAGTGGTCCAGGGACCGATCTTGAGCGGATTTGGGCTAATCCCCCCATCTTGACAGAAATTTGTGGGGTCCCAGCCAGTTCAGACCCCCCAGCCGTTTCCAAGTCGGGGGCCAATCGCCGTTGCATCTGCGATGTGCCGCCGATGCCAGCTCGATGTTGCCCCCCCCGAGCTGGTTCCCACCTGTCGTCGCCCCTCAACAAATCCACATCCACTGGAGATCAAACAGAGGGATATAGAGATAGAAAGAGATTCCAGGCCTCGCAGATGGGGCTGAATCAGATGGGTTCGGAAGATCGCGCCGCATCGCCAATGCGGTTCGATCTGGAGCCCATTTTGCTTCATCCCGCCATCGCCGATGCATCGATGCGGCGTGTTCCTCCCACCCCATCTGCTCCGGCCCCACGTGCGAGGCCTTCCTAACCGTACGTTGTCTGAGGTCCGTGCGAATGTCTTCGGTCGGCGCTGGACCAGCCCCTCCTCTGGCGCGCCACGCGCGCAGAGGGCGGCACCAGAGGCGCCGCCAGACGAGGTCCAGCGCTGACCCAAAAAAACACAATCGGCTCAATCTGGGCCAATCCAGCTTAATGACCTCTCGCGTGGATCACCGCTAAGACTGCTTAGGAGATAGGGGGGTCATAAGTGGATGCATATGTGGGTTATGTCCGACCTGACCTAGCTTATAAATTGGTTACAGTTGCCCTGAGTGGCGTCCAGGGGTTTGGTAACTCTGCTAGCTCATAAGCAGGCTGCAAGTGCAAGCGACTTACGGAAAGTAAATATCGCCCACTTCGCAGAGTTACCTGACGCCTCTGAGCCATTTGGGGCATTTGTACCCATCTATGAGCTGGGTCAGTCCAGATAGAACACACATTAGCATGAACCTATACCCCCTATCCCCTCAGCCCCTTCATCGGTGATCCATGCAGAGCTGTCGAACCATTAAGCTGCATAAGCAGGAACTTCCCAATCCCCGCTTGGATTTCTCTCATCGGCGCCGTGGCCCCTCTGGCGGCCCCCCTGGCGGCGCCCCTGGCGCGGCTCCTGGCGCGCTTCGCGCGCTAGGAAGTGGGGGTCCAGCGCCGATCCAAGAAGTCCGCGCGTACCTACGAAGGTTGACGTTTATGCCGTTTCTCTTGCTTTATTTTCCTGGACCGATTTCCCATCCCAGAGGTTTAGAATTAGGAACAGTTTGTCCGTCGTGATTCTTTCGCCACACCGGGGGTCTGTGTATCCACGGGGTCGCAGCTGAGGGGTCTGATGCACGAGGCCGTTGGTGCGGATGTGGGCGACGCGCAGGGGAGGGTAGGAGGAGGGGGGAGGGCTTCTTAGAAGCACCCCCTGCTCCTTCGAAGGCGCTGGCCTTGTCTGTAGATGCAAGGCCCGCGCCTTCTCAGACGCAGCCTCCTCCCAAGAAGCCTTCCCCCTCCCCCCTAACCACCCCCTGCGCGCCGCCGAGACCGAGCCCCCTGCCCCGGGGAGGCGACGTGAGCACCGCGAGCCCGGCGCTGGGCCCGCCGAGCGACAACAGCAGCGACTGCCGCAGCAAGTGCACGTGGACCCCACGGGTGGCGCCCGCGGCAATTACCCCTCGGTGCAACGGAATCTCGGAGGCAGCGCTGTTCGCCTCGCCCCCCCCCCTCCGCCTCCTCCGTCCCTTGTCCTGCCACCGAGCGCGTTCCTCTGCCCGCAGGGTGCCTGCTCGCAAGCGTCCGCGCAGAAAAAAACACATGCTTGCCTCGACGTGACGGATCACCAAGTCCCCTGCGACGGATCGAGGCCATTTGCGAGTAGCTACTCTGCGAGTAGCGGAACGCACTTGTCGATCCCTGTGAATCATTCCTCCCAGTCGCACCCCCAGACGTGTCGGCAGGGCTGGGAGGGCTTTCCGCTGAGACCTCATCACCATTTATAGTCGTGAAGCTTGAGACTTGCAACAGCTTCAAGGATCGAGGGCGGCGGTTTTCGAAATGTGGCTTTCGCTGTAGCGCCGCACGCATTCGGCTCATAAGTTCGCAGCAATTTCAAGGATGGAGGGCGATTCCTTTCCAAAATGTGGCTCTCGCCGTAGCGTCGCGCGCAGTCGTTTTCAAAAGCTTGCAACAGTTTGAAGGTTCGTAAGGTTGCTGGCCTTCAGGACACAACAGTTGCGTTGATTCGCGGCGTTGAAATTCCAGTAATGGTGTTGTGGCACGATTGAAAATTCTCGGACGATTGTCTTTCAATGGGGCACTTCCAACAATGACAAAATGAAGAGGGAATTTGGAGGGAGGGTTTATTGCAACATCGTAGATGATCCACTCTGCAGGTTCTCAGTGCAGCTTGCTTTGAGCACCTCGGGCAGTCAGCAATCGAAGTGGTATTGTTGCGGGCCCATCTCGCGCCAAGTATCGGTAGGTATGCTTGGGGCGTACTGCGCAGATATTGGGCCCAGGATGCAGAGTCCATTGCGATCCGATCAATCTGATTCGATGTGGACGTCGGCTGGCTCGATCCGGTTCGATTTCGATTTTCCGACGATCCAGTGCGGCCCGATGGTTGCATGGCGCTGTTGTGCATCACTGTGCGGCCGAACCGCCGATTCGAGATCGATTCCGTGCCTGATTCGATGCTGACAGGTCTTGCCCGTGATGGGCGTGGCCATGATTTAAGCAATTAGTTAGGATGCAATTCCTGGGAGGTAAAATTCAGTATCGTTGCTGGTATATCCCTGGTCGAAGCCGCCCTAACTCGGCGCAGTTCTGTGCAATCAGGCCAAATCCGAGTTAATATGGCCTCATCCTGGTTTTTTTACTTGGACCACTTCGGCTTACTGGGCCCTCAATCTGGCTCAACAGGCCTGAGTCTTTTTTGCAAAGACCTCCGCGTCGGCGATCGGCGTTCGATACAGGCCCCTACTGCTCCCCCCCACTCGTGGGCGCCAGGCGCAGCAGGAGACGGATAACAACAACAACAACAACAACAACAACAACAACAACAACAACAACAACAACAACAACAACAACAACAAAAAACGCGACCTCGGAGGCCAGGATTTTATCCATGTCCACGCTCTGGGCCCCCGTGAGGGTTGGGGTGTGTGCAGGGGCATGGGTCAGATTTCGATCGCGCATCCCAGGAGGTTCTTCCTCAACTTAGGTGTGCATGCTTGGCGCCGTCCCTGTAGGACCTGGACATCCAGCTCCGACAGCCGGAGCTGGGCGGATCTATCCTGGCGGCGCGCGGGGTGGGCAGCAGGCGGAGCTCTTAACGTGCTGCCCGAGAGGCACCAGCGAGGTGGGTCGTTGCCCCATTGCCCCCCTCCCTCCCCTCCCTGCCCCTCCCTCCCTCCCCCCTCTCTATTCTTTTCCCTTATAAATAGCTCTTCCATGTCGCACACCGAGGCCAGTCGGAAGGGCGGCCCGGGCGTCTCGCTTGAGTTTCACTGAGGGAGGGCAGGTCGTTTCCAAAATGTTGCTCTCGCTTCAGCGCCGAGCACACTCGTCTTGTAAATTTGTTAGATATTCACGGATTGAGGGCGGCTCCTTAACAAAATGTGAATCTCGCCTTGGCGCCGCGCGCCTTCGTTGAAAGAGATTGTGAGGGTTTCGCGGCTCCCCATGGCTGACGTCCCAGAAATGGCGTTGGAACGATTCAGGATTGTCAAGGCGCGCTTGTTACGCTGATTCTCGGTGCTGAAGTCCCAGGAATGGCGCTTTGGTGCGATTCTGGATCGTTCTACATTCACCAGTACGGTTGGTTCGTGGCGTTGGAATCCCGAGAACGGTGTTTTGGCACGCTTCTGGATCTTCAAACGGTTGTCTCCCAACGGGGCACTTCCCTCAGTGGAAATGAATCCATGCATGGGCCTCTGAAGAGGGAGCTTGGAGGGAAGGTTCATTCCAACATCCCTGATGGGTCTTGGGTTTGCACTGGTAGCCCTTCCTCTTCCTCTTTATCCTCCCCGGCGTCTACTCCTCTTTCTCCTTCTCCCCCCATTTCCTCCTCCTCACCTTGCTCCTCCTCTTTCTTTTTCCCAACCATCCTGTGGTGTTGGGTCCTCGTTTTGAAGAGACAGCGCCCGCTCCCGCTCCCGCTCCCGCTCCTCCTCCCCCTCCTCCCTCCTCCCTCCTCACACCATCATCATCGTCATCATCATCCATTTTAGCACACCCCTCACACGCTTCGTGGCCCCATAGGGAGCTCCGCCGAAGGCCCCAGTGCTGCCGCCCGCATGCGTCACGCACACCCAATTCGGCACACCCCTCACACGCTTCGTGGCCCCATAGGGAGCCCCACCGAAGGCCCCAGTGTTGCCGCCCGCATGCGTCACGCACGCCCATTTCGGCACACCCCTCACACGTTCCGTGGCCCCATAAGGAGCCCCACCGAAGGCCCCAGTGCTGCCGCCCGCATGCGTCACGCACACCCAATTCGGCACACCCCTCACACGTTCGTGGCCCCATAGGGAGCCCCACCGAAGCCCCAGTGCTGCCGCCCGCATGCGTCACGCACACCCAATTCGGCACACCCCTCACACGTTTCGTGGCCCCATAGGGAGCCCCACCGAAGGCCCCAGTGCTGCCGCCCGCATGCGTCACGCACACCCAATTCGGCACACCCCTCACACGTTTCGTGGCCCCATAGGGAGCTGACCGAAGGCCCCAACGCTGCCGCCCGCATGCATGCGTCACGCACACCCAATTCGGCACACCCCTCACACGCTTCGTGGCCCCATAGGGAGCCCCACCGAAGGCCCCAGTGCTGCCGCCCGCATGCGTCACGCACACCCAATTCGGCACACCCCTCACACGTTTCGTGGCCCCATAGGGAGCTCCACCGAAGGCCCCAGTGCTGCCGCCCGCATGCGTCACGCACACCCAATTCGGCACACCCCTCACACGTTTCGTGGCCCCATAGGGAGCTCCACCGAAGGCCCCAGTGCTGCCGCCCGCATGCGTCCCGCACACCCAATTCGGCACACCCCTCACACGTTTCGTGGCCCCATAGGGAGCCCCACCGAAGGCCCCAGTGCTGCCGCCCGCATGCGTCCGCACACCCAATTCGGCACACCCCTCACACGTTTCGTGGCCCCATAGGAGCTCCACCGAAGGCCCCAGTGCTGCCGCCCGCATGCGTCAGCACACCCAATTCGGCACACCCCTCACACGTTTCGTGGCCCCATAGGGAGCTCCACCGAAGGCCCCAGCGGCGGCGCTCACATTCGCATGCGTCCCGCACACCCATTTCGGCACATCCCTCACAGGTTTCGTGGCCCCATCATCCACCGGAGGCCCCAGTGGCGGCGCTCACATGCGTCACCCACACCCACCTAATTCGGCACACCCCTCACACGTTTCGTGGCCCCATAGGGAGCTCCACCGAAGGCCCCAGCGGCCGCGCCACAAGCGTCCCCGCCACCCATCCCGGCACGCCCTTCACAACAACAGGTTTCGTGGCGCCATAGGGAGCTCCACCGAAGGCCCCAGTGGCACCGCCCGCATGCGTCACCACCCGCACCCAATTCGGCACACCCCTCACACGCTTCGTGGCCCAATAGGGAGCTGCACCGAAGGCCCCAGTGGCGGCGCTCACATGCGTCCCTCCACACATCCCAGTACACCCCTCACGCGCTTCGTGGCCCCATAGGGAGCTCCACCGAAGGCCCCAGTAGCGGCGTTTACACGCGTCTCCGCCACCCATTCCGGCACCCCCCCCGCAGCAGCATCATGTTT